TTAAAATGATGAATTTAAAACGCGGAATAGTCAAAAACAACCTCTACCCAAGATTTGGTGTCACATTACTCACGAACCACTAAGAATAAACTAAATACAAAGGTCTGAAAGAAATATAACAGCTGTCTGTCTCGAAACAAGGAGGCAACAGTCTAAAAGAAAAACAATGAGAAGAGACGCCGGGCCTACGGACGCCTGCAAGGCTACCTCAGTCTCGTGAATATGAATCGCCTGCTTCCGAACTACTGCTGCTGCTGTTCCTCAAAACCTGGACCTGTGCAAAAATGCACAGAAGTGTAGCATCAGCACAACCGACCCCATGTGCTGGTAAGTGTCTAGCCTAACCCCGGCGAAGTAGTGACGAGGCTAGACTAGACACCACATAAACCTGTGCAGTCATAAATATACAGCGAAAATCGAATACAAGGCAATTAACAACATGGGAGGGAAAACATGCGATGGGGAGATACAATATTAACAGTAATTCAGAGTAACCAACTAAACAGCTTAGATCCACAATGAACAAGGAATCAATACTCAGATATAAACACATGGCATCAATAACTGTTGCGGCGTGCAACCCGCTCCATAATTACCATTTGTTGCGGCGTGCAACCCGCTCCACAATACCACTGTTGCGGCGTGCAACCCGACCCATATCATTTATCATGTATCATTGTTGCGGCGCGCAACCCGATCCTCACATATTATTGTTGCGGCGTGCAACCCGATCCTCAATATCATTGTTGCGGCGTGCAACCCGATCCTCAATATCATGGTACAGTCCGACTCCCCAAACAACAATCACAATCAAGGGGCATAAAATAAGCAAATATTTGACAACCATCCCGGCAAGGGAAAGAACCCAACAAGTTCAGCCAAACGTCCCGACAAGGGAATAATCAACAACGCTTTCTCTTTCTTACTTTCCTTATCTTATAATTCACTTTACTATTTTGAGCCAACGCTCCAAAGAATCAAGTCATTTCGTATACTTTCAATATTCGTATCACAATTCGAGCCAATGCTCCAGGAATCAAATGATCCTATTACCGTTCACATGTTATTCACAACGTATAGAAATCCTCCAATAAACACGGAGTTCACAACCAAGTCACGATAATTACATTATAAAGACTCACGGTCATGCTAGAAACCAATGTATAGATACTCGTCACCATGCCTATACATCGTACTCGATCACATAGCAATTAACAACAAGATTCAACTCCTATTCCCTCAAGCTAGGGTTAAACCAAACACTTACCTCAAAACCTTGAAATCCACTTAATCTTCAACTATCGCTTTACCTCATGATTCCATCTCCAATACAGTGATATCTAGGCATAATTAATTCAACAATATCAATAAAGACTCAATGGCAACTTCTCATAGCCTAGATATGAATTTTCTAGCATTATTCCAAAAATACCAAAATTAGACACCGGGCCCACATGGTCCAAACTCTAGGCTCGGACCAAAACCCGATCGCCCATAACCCCACGAGTGCAAATATATAATTTATTTTAAGATTCGACCCCAAATTGAGGTTGAATCACCCAAAATTCTCAAAACCCTAACTCTACCCAAAACCCATAATTTCTACCTTGATTTCATGTTTTTAGGGCTAGGAATTCACTAATTAATGAAGGAAATTGAAGGAAACAAGTTGAACAATGCTTACCCAAGAAGTTTTGATGAAAGGGAGCTTCAATGGACGCCTAAGTGCTTGGAGAAGAAAGGGCTTCGTGTGTTTTTATGAAAAATCCCGTGCTACTGTTCTGTTTTTAACTTAAAAATTCGCTGGGCAAAATTGCCCTACGCGATCACGGAAATAGGGATGCGATCGCGAAGGGTACCATTGACTGGTCATCGCGATCGCGTAGAGGGTTACGCGATCGCGTAGAAGAACTACTGGGGGTCCAAGGATTTGGCTTACGCGATCGCGTGGTTCAAGACGCGATCGCGAAGGAAGACGACTCAGTGCTATGCGATCGTGTGGGGAAGAGCGCGATCGCGAAGAAGGAAATCCCTGTGTAAAAATTGCAGAAAATCTGATATCATCCTAAGTCCAAAACCACCCCGAACACCTCCGAAAACACTCCCGAGCCCTCGGGGCTCCTAACCAATCACACCCCTAACTCAATAACATCTTACGAACTTACTCGACCGATCAAATCGCCAGAATAACCTCAAAATCATTGGATCAAGCCTCAAAATCATCATTTTCCTTTCAAACTTCATAAACTTCAAACTTTAGATATTTAGGTCTGAAACACGTCAAACGACGTCCGATTTCGACCAAACTTTACAGAAAGCGCTTAACACATATTTAAGACTTGTACTGGGCGTCGGAACCAAAATACGAGCCCGATACCACAGTCTTTTAATCAATTTTCATTTCCATTTTCCTTAATAATTTCAGAAAAATAATTTCACAGAAAAATTCATTTCTCGGGCTCTAGACCTCGGAATTCGACTCCGGGCATATGTCCGCGTCCCATATTTCTCTACGGACCTTCCGGGACCGTCCAATCTCGAGTCCGGGTCCGTTTACCAAAAATGTTGACCGAAGTCAACCTTAAACATATTAATATCAAAATTCTTCAAATTTTTTACAGAATTCACATATTTCAACATAAAAGCTTTTCCGGCTACGCGCCCGGACTGCGCACGCAAATCGAGACAAGTAAAAATGAGGTTTTCAAGGCCTCGGAAGCACAGAATGAATGAGGAAACAGGTGATGACCCTTTGGGTCGTCACAAGGACCTGTCCCTACGGCATAATTTTCGAGAAGGAAACCAAGTAGCTCATCTTTTGGCAGTAGATGCATGCAAGGACACTTTTTGGCAACCATGCAAGGAGTCAGCTAAACTACATCCAACACCACCTCCTTTTGTAAACTCACAGCTTGCTAAAGATTTGGATGTTGTTTACCACGGCATGTAATAGACTAAAACTTCTAGGTAACCAAAATGTCACAAACATTGGTCTACCAAGTTGTGACAATTTTTATTTTCAAAGTATATGTACCAGGAACAACTTCTAATCTTTATATAATATAAATATCCATACTATCAAAAAAAAAAAAAAGTTTATTCTTTACTTCAAAGTTGTGTAAATAAGTAACTAGAAACTGGAATTAAAACCTTTTGGGATATCCTTTTATCCAATGTTGTTCTCATCAAAAATTGTCCAGTAAATTGGAATTAATATTTTTCTAGTAGTAAATTGTCCCAAATCCGACAAAGAAATGACTTTTTTGTATTCAATCTTTAGCTGACAATGTATATCACTCTCTTCTTTTTCTTTTTGTTTTTTACTTCTTGTGGTTCTCCGGTTCTCCTAAATTACCAATAAATATATGGGCGAAGTGCACCAGCCACTTTTAAGTCCGCTATTTAAAATATATGCACAATTTACAATGTATTTAAACATTAGCCAATTCACCAAAATTTCAGGATTAAGTATCCTAAATTTGGAAATTTAGGACCTAGTGTCCTGAATTTTTGAGCTGCTAATTTGAAATTTCAGGACTGAGTGTCCTGAATTTCTGTACTAATTTAAAATTTGAGGCATAAGATTCTAACTTCTGAATACATTTTTCGATCTTTAGGACATGATGTCCTGAAGTTTGAACTTTGAGGTTTAAATTCTAGGATGATGTGTCCTGAAGTTTGAGCGAAATTGGCTAATCTTTAAATAAATTATGAACTATGGATATATTTTAAACAACATGCTTAAAAATCGCTGCCTGGTTTCATTTCCCATGTTCATTTCTCATCAAGTTATTTTTTTCTTGTCTTTTCAAAAGCTTTTTGTATTCATATGCTTGAAAATACCTGATTTAGATAGTAGGATTTTGTTATGTAACCAACTTAGGGGTCATCTATTCATTACCTTACTTGGATGTTGATTGGCAGGCAATTTTGGAGGTCATATACTCATTAACTAATAATTAAGGTGATAAACAAGATTTGAATTTCCACTAATAGAAATATAGGAATGAGTATAAAAAAGAGGAACAAGGACAGCTCTTGTATTGTATGGGTGGAGTGGGCCCTTTCAAGTACCATGTGCCTTAAATTACTATAAAAAAAAGTAGCCTGATGCATAAAGCATCTCGCGTTCACGTGAAAGAGCCACACTTCAGGGATGTGATGTAGGCAGCCTACCCTAATGCAAGAATTAGTGACTGTTTTCACGACTCGAATCCGTGACCTATAGATCGCATGGAGACAACTTTATCGTTAATCCAAGGCTCTCGTTCGTGCCTTAAAACTACTCATTGAGATAAATATTTCTACTTTTGTTATTACTAAAAATTGGTTTGGCAAGAAAGATTTTTAGTTTCTTTTCTCAAGTTGGATCGACATAATTGGAGCAAGAGTCATTTTCAAAGTCTAAGTTGGACGACATGAGAAACCAAGAAAGGCCATCATACTTACTTTGTTGGGTCTGTTTTCTGCAAAGTACCAAATGTATGAGTTGTATCTTTCCTCTCATGTCTTTCTAGTTTAACTTAATAACATTAGGATAAGCTATTGTACCTCAATTGAACTATCATTACAACAACAACTAGTCCTTAATTCCAAACAAATTGAAGTCAACTATATGAATCATCGTGGTGCATGTCGCTTTATTTATGCAACCTAATCAATAAGATAAACTAAGAAAATGATAAAATGATTCAGTGACACCAACAGGCATTTCTGTTATCTTCATCTTACAAACTCAAAACAAGTGAACTATGAAAAAAGAGGAACTCAGAGCAAGAAAGAAAAGGGCAGATCAGTGCACTAAGCTCCCGTTATGCGTGGGGCCCGAGGAAGGGTTGGACCACAAGGGTCTATCGTACGCAGTCATACCCTGCATCTCTGCAGGAGGCTGTTTTTATGGTTCGAACCCATGACCTCCTAGTCATGTGGCAGCAACTTTACCAGTTACACCAAGGCATTAATAAGAAGGGAAAGAAAAAGAGAAAGAAAATGCATTAATATTTAGCAACAAACAGTGTCCTTTATAATCAAACCAATACTTAAATAACTTGAGAAACTAATTAATAAAGAACATTTTCAATTTCAGTCCCTTGGCATCTATTATTTATGCCAAACATTTGATCTAATAATTGGTAAATATCATCAAGAGTAGTTTTCCACCACATAAAGGTTGTACTTCAGAGGAAGAATTTCATGAAGTGATATTCCATCAGTTGGAAAACTCTCCATTATTTTGCTTAAGTAAGAATAACACATTTAACATCACTAAGAGAATCTTATTAATATACTAACTTTGTGCTGTTTCTTTTCATGTGAGTCCACAGCTTCATTAGCTCAATACTGCTGAATGGTTTGACAAGATAATCTGTTGCTCCAAGCACCAATCCTTTCAAGACGAGAGGGACTTCGTCCTCGTCCAACATCACTTCCACAGCAGAATGGGAGACAAAAAGAGAAGATACATTAGGCGTCGTAAAAGCTTGTAAGTGATTTCTAGTACGGTCAAATCTCTCTATAACAGCCTCGTTTGTTCCGATAGTTTTTGGCTGCTATAGCGAAGTATTGTTATAGAGGACATATATTAGCATAAAAATCGATTTTGAGAAAACTTGCAGAGATGCTGTTATAGAGAGGTCTGACTGTAGCTCGGTTAGAAATAAAAGAAGAAAAAAGAGCTTACTGATCACAGGAATGTGTTTTAAATTCATATCCAGCTTGATGAAATTGAAAATCTTCGTGCCATTGGATATAAGGAGAGAGGCTTCAGCAAGTATAATATCTATACACGGCCCCTGAGAGTTCAGTGCATCTAACGCGTCTACTGCTGAAGACACTGGTATAACTGCGGAGCAACAAGAAGAACAACAGGTGACAGATCTCAATATATTAGAGAAGCAAAAAGGAAGAAAAATGAGGCATTTATATATCGCCGTTGAATCAATTAGAGTTAAGAGCTTTTGATTCAAGAAGTTACAATCATGCATTTATATGACATCTTCCTCTCAAGTTTTAAGAGATTTTTCCAAGTTTTATAGCAGGCCTAATTGCTGTTAAATCATGTTACTTATCTACTGACAAGTTTTCCTAAATGGAAACACAGGACAGCAATCCTCTTTCTTGATTGCGCGCTTAAGCTTTAAACAGGACATATCTCTGTTCCCATTGGGGAATCAATTTGGTTAATTGTGTATTAACTATGCAGACAGAATATATCCATAAACAGGAAAAGGGAAAAGTGGTTTATACAGCAATGAACAACTTGACTAATTAGTCTGGTAACTATCTGTCTCAATGTTATCTCACTTAACTTGTTATGATGAGAGTATCTTACCTAATCTAACACTTTCCTAAAAAGGAAAATATAACTGAGTGATTTAGAAAGTAATGTTGGAAACCATAATAAGGCATATCATACCTAATCTAATACATCCCCAAAATAGAAACCTAATTAAGGAGTATCATACCTAATCTAATACTTCCCAGAAATGGAACATATAACTGAATGGTTTTAAAGTAATGTCGGAAACCACAGTAATAAGGTATATAAATTTCGCATTACTACAATATAAGGTGCCAATGCTAATTTTTCCAACATATAGAATAAGGTACCGCGGAGATATTACCCTGGTAACAACATTTCTTAAGAAGGGCTAATACTTCCTGGCAACTCTCAGCATCTGTATCGCAAAGCAGAACCCTCACATTGCTCAAATCCATCAGATCATTGCTCATAAGATGATCACGGTTACTACAATTTCCACGTAAAATAATGCTCTCACTCTTGTCCATAGACACTATATAATAGTTTGGAAGAAATAATTACAATATAGTTTGGCAATGAGGACTCTCAATATTCTAGCAAAGCTGTGTTTGTTATATACATGAGCTATAACCAACAAGGAGTTTGGTTTACCAAATTTTTAAAGCTGACCTAACTTTTAGATGGATATATACGTTTGTCCCTTGTACTTCATTGGAAGAATGAAAGGCTTAGTTCCAATTAGCAGAAAAGAAGACTAAAGCGGTTTTGCTAATTCCATTTTCGGATTGTATAGCTGCAGTTTCAATTGGAGAAAACTCAACAAATACTAATACCTTCTGTTTAATTCCTCTTCCCTTTTCATTCCATATTCCTGAGCTCAAATCTGATGAATACAAAGAAGAATCCTCGTACTCTCGGCCACTGATGTTCATACTCATCGCTTCTCAAAGGCACTCAAGCTTTTCTAAAGGGATTGAGGGGGATGACTATATATGCAGTTTGGTGCACTAAGCTCTCGCTTTGCGCGGGGTCGGGGGAAGGGCCGGACCACAAGGGTCCATTGTACGCAGCCTTACCCTGTATTTCTGTAAGAGGCTGTTTCCACAGCTCGAACCCGTGACCTCCTGGTCACATAGCAGCAACTTTACCAGTTACGCCAAGGCTTCTCTTCAAGACTATATATGCAGCTAAATAGCAAATAAGTTGAGAGATTGCTGATCAGAAAGAACAGACTTTACATTCTAGTTATTAGGATTGCTATAATCACACTCGGAAAAGTTTGGCCAGCTTCTCATTGCCCACAGTATTTACACAATGGGACCATTTGGAAGCATCACATCATCACATGTGCTGATAGGAAGGAGAAGGTTAGTCGGCTTTCGTTCTGAAAGCATATATTACTTGTTGTCACCAAACAAAAACAAAGCAAATCAAAAGATAGCTACCAATCTATCATTTTTCATCACATTCACGTGTTGCAGAAAATCAAATACTTATCTTTTGGATCACCTAACCAATTCTAAGTCCAATGAAAGACAATCAACTGCTATTCAGGTTTTATATGAAAAATCATTCATTTACTTTACTACTAATGTTATGGATGTAGGGAACGTGAGCTTTTGAGGATTTAGTTTGGTGATCGAATTTAGAAACACATCGAATATTAACATAAGTAGTAGATTATTTTGATTAGCAAAAGCATGTGAATGACTTTTTCCATGTGCACACTGCATTATTCATATTCAACCTCACACGCAACGCAAATGCATAAGATGAAAAATGCAAACAGTTATCTGTATCGTTCCAATTTTAAAAGCAAATAATTATCTCATAAGCATACATCAACTATCAACTACATACAACAACAAGGATGCCTCAATTCCAAGCAATCAAGGCCTATATGAATCCTCGTTGACCAAGTCGCGACAACAATAACAACAACAACAGACCCACTGTAATCGCACAGGTGGGGGTTTGGAGAGGATAGTGTGTAGGTAAATTTTACCCCTACTTTGAGAAGGTAGAGAGGCAGTTTCCGATAGACCCTCGGCTCAAGACTAAGTCGTTTCCTTCGAGAGCAATTCTCACCTCATTATCTAACTTTCTGGATTGAGTTAAACCTAAGGTCCATTTTTTTTACCTGGTATCGAAACCCGAACCATCCATATTTTTGGTTTACCTAATGTTGGACCCTCATGTTATATTGACAACGCTCCGAATGTCCAACCTGGGCATGCACGAGCAGATTGATTTCTACATAATCATAAACTCTTGTACAAATTTCAATTAGCAACTTGAAGCTTTAAAACAAACTTGCAATTTACTGTAATCATGCAATATTTGTATTCTGCGAATGGAAAAATAAAATGGGGCATGACTTACAGAGACTGTAGGTATTGAAATTCGATTAGGTTCTTAATTAAGAAGTCCATATTGCAGCCAGTGGAATCCTCAGTTTGCAGTTGATATAGAAAACTCCGTAGAACTGGAAGCAAATTCATCTATTAGACGTCAATATCAGAGTGAAATAATACAAGTGAGGAGAATTTGAATAATGTATTATTTTTATCAAAAGTAAAAACGGAAAAGGTCCAAATATACCCTTGTAAATTGAGCACATTCGACCTTAGTTAATACTTTAGCCCATACATGCCATTACCGTCACATATTGGTCATATATACCCTTTTTGAAACGGAATCGACCCAAACTAATTAGCTCTTTCGTTAATTGTACTAAAATATATTACAAACACTATTTTTTTTTATTAGTACTTTTTTTTTGTTTACATATCTCTTTTCTTTCTTCTTTTCTTTTCTTCTCTTTTTTTTTCCATTTTCTCTTTCACCCATATACGAGTTCCTCCACTGCTGATGCCTTTTCCATTTTCTGTCACCAATTTAACTTGACAAAACTCATGAATTCCTGCTAATTTTACTATCACAAACCCCACAGGTTCTTCTGACCTGAAGGAGATGAAAATTGTCGAAGAAATTTTTTTTAGTGGTGTTAATTGGGTAAAGGTAGGATATGGTTATTCAGATTTTGAAGGTCTTGTTTCCTTCAGATCTAAAGCTTCACGGTGAACAGCACCTTCAAAATTTGAATAACCATATCCTACCTTCACCAAATTAACACCACCGAAAATATTTCTCCGATAATTTTCATCTCCTTCTTTCAGAAGAACCGGAGCATTCTCACTTGGAAGGTTTTGGTGGTGTAGATTTGAGTTTTAAGAATAAAATCACGTGAAATTGGTGACGGAAATGGAGAAGGCATCAGCAATGGAGGAAATCGGATATGGGAGAAAGAAAAAGAAGAAAAAAGAGAAGAAAAGAAAAAAGAAAAAAAAGTACTAATAAAAAAGAGATAGTGTTTGTGATACACTTTAATCTATTTATATCTATATTATTATAAAAGCACGAATAATTTATGCTAAATGTTGAACGACTAAAATAGCCTCGAAATATTAATTAACTTTTATAACCTTAAATATTTGTATAATTTAAGGATATAATGGTAAATCACCCGATGCTAGAATTCTTTTCCCATTTAAACTACACATAAGGCAACGTAAAAGTTTCAATGCTCCTCGGTTTTTAGGAGTCCTTTACCAAGTTTAACTTATTACAACTCCTTTTAGTTTTAGGAGTATTTCTTATTTCGAGCACTTTTACGTTTGCCCGTTCTTTTATATACTTTTAGAGTTAGGAGCCCTTAATTTTTTTTTTCTATTTCAACTAGAAAAATTTGGATAGCTTCCGTTTTAAAGTGCTAAGTTACAGCTACTACAAAAATAAATCTCACATTGAAACAAATAGTTATTTAACTATTATACTGATATTAGTGAATAGTCATTCACTCCCTTTGTTCCAATTTATGTGAACTTATTTATATCTATATCTATATCTATATCTATCTATATCTATATCTATATCTATATCTATATCTATCTATATCTATATCTATATCTATATCTATCTATATTATTATAAAAGCACGAAAAATTATGCTAAATGTTGAACGACTAAAATATTTCCAAAATATTGATCGACTTTTTTGCCCTTAAGTATTTGTATAATTTAAAGGTCTAATTGTAAATTATCAAATGATGGAATTCTTTTTCAATTTAAACTATACATACGCTAACCCTACAAAGTTAATCCTACTTACACTGGAAAGGCATGTCCATAATTTTCTTTTAAAAAAAATTGTTGTCCCTAATTATAACAAGTACGTAATTTTAGTGGGAGGATAGGAGATTCCTTCTTGGAGAACTTTTTTTCTTTCTTATTCACATTATGAATTTTTTACCTTTTTATTGTGTAAGGAACTTCAGATAAATTTCATTCATTCCTGAAAAGTGATTTGTGTTTTATTTATGTGTTAGGAATTTTTTTTATAAATACCAATATTTTTCTTTCGAATAAAATATCATGATTCCTTCTTGAGGAGGTATTTTTTCCTTTCACGATAGGATATTTGGAAAGTTCTTCGATACCTTTTATATATTTAGTTAGAACTTACAAAATATAGATTCTATTACGTGCTTTTTAACTAAGATTGGATTAATCAGAATTGTAATGAATTTTAGAGATTGTATTGATTAGGATTGGAGTTAAATTATTTTCTAGCTGCGTAACCATGTAATTTTCTTTTGAATATTCGTATAGTTAAGAATTTATAATTTTACTAAATATGACTTTTTGTAATAATTGACATAAAATAACGTGCAACACAAGAAATAAATGCCAACAGAATGTATGAATGACTAAATGAACCTTTCTTTTTTAGTTTCTTTGTTACTAATGTAATCTTGAGTAAATATGATTTTCATGTATCTGAATCATTAAGGCTTAATTAAATAAAAAAATTATTGAATCAGAAAAATAATATTTAAGTATTTTGTGTTCTTAAGTAATTTTACAACTTTAATTGTATAATTCCATTATATTTAGTTCTATTTTGTCCTTTCATTGTGCCAAAACATTATTAATTTATTCGAATGAAACAGATTATTAAACTTTGTACATATTGAATTTCGTACATATTCAGTTGTAATTAATTTTAGAATATTATGTAATTGAAAGTTTATTTTTTCATACGTGTTTTATAATAATTTGACATAAAGATATTCATGCATCCACGAACATAAGAAACTAAGTACTATTACAAGCACGAAGGCCCTTAGCAAGAAATATCGTTCGTGCTTTTTTACCCTTCGTAAATAACACTTTATATTGGATAAAATTGTAAAATACAAATAAAATACTTTTTGAAAAAAAAAAACAAAAATTACGATAGGAAAAGGAATAAGCAATTAAGAAAGAGAGACAAAATGTAGGAAACTCTTTAATTAGTATCTAACCTAATACTCTAAAGAGGCACAATATTTCGTAGGTTAAAAAGGGAAAAAGTAAGACTCATTAATTAATATCCTATTAAATAGGTCAAAACATTCGTAGTTAAAAAAGAATAAGAACATTAGTTAGTAGAAATTACCCTACGAACATTTTGATCTCAAGAAATAAAAATTTATTAAGTAAAAAGTTTTAAAGTTCATCAGCAAAATTTTTATATATAAAAATTCATCATTAAAACCATTTAAAGAGTCAAAATTGTAGTAGGTTAAGAAAGAATAAGACAATGTTTCGATAGTTTAGTATCCTGATCTTTTATTTTTCATGAACACATTCTTTTTAGTTTTCTATCTATATATATATTTATATCATACTATATTAAAAATATAATATAATTAATTTCTATCTACTTTTTTTGAACCCTTCAAAGATTTTGCATTAGACAAAATTAATGAACTGAGTTTATTATCTCAACAATTAGGATTTAATTTAGAGGCATTGAATATGATCATCTAAATCTTTCTTTATTTAAACTATGTAAAATTTTTAATATTTAATACTCAAAATCAAGATTTTATTTTATAATAAATCCCTTGCCTTAATTTTTTGACTTTTAAAATGTTTCTAAAATACTTACCTAAGTTGTCATTATGCATCTATACCAACCAATCAATTTTCTCTTCGTCTGCCTATCACATAGTGTTTATGAAAGTTCTAAACCTAAGGTTTATAAATGTATATCCCTCGCGAAACCAAGAAAGATAATAAGGAAATATGAAGATTTTGTCCAAATATGAAATAACTAATGTAATATTAACAATGAGTGATTTGTTAAGAATTTAAAAGAGAGAAATTAGAGATTGACAAAAGTAAATAACTTCTACAAACACAAAGACCTAAAACAAAAATGCCAGATGCAATTTGTTTACCTTTTAAAAATAGATTTTCTTATTGAACTAACTAATTTACAGTTAAAATTTAAAATTTTGGATGACCTAATACTAAGAATTTGACAAAAAAATTAATTAATTTCTTTAATGTTAAAACAAATAGTTGAACTTCTTAAACTAACTAAAAAAGAAAAAGAATTTGCGTGATTTATTTTCAAATTAAATCATATATATAAAAAAAATATTTTTCAAGTTGATAAAATTCTTAATAATGCATAAGGGATGATAGAACAACATTGATTACAATCATTATCAATTAGATACAAAGTTGAAGCTATAAGGAATGAATATTTAGAAGTAACTTTTTTTTTTTTTTTTGCATTCGTTCAAAAGAATAACAAACTCCCTATTTTATTCATTATCTTTATAAAATATTAACTAACATAGTGAAGGCAACAAGAGAAACAATAACAAGGCATCCAAAAGTTAAAAGAGGATTTTTAATTCCTTTTAGCTTAGGACTCTTTGTATAGATAGGGAAACAAGATTTGAAACTAATGTTTAAATGGATATGATCAAATTAATTTGTTAAAAAAATAATAAATACAATTTTGAGCACTTTTTTCTTTGTGATTCTTTTTTTGTTCTATTCTTTTTGGCTATAGAAAGTGTTGACGACCCAAAAGGGTCATCACCAGATTTCTCCTCTTTTTCCGTGCTTCCGAGACCTTGAAAACCTCACCTTTAGTTGCCTCGATTTGCGTGCGCAGTCCGGGCGCGTAGCTGGAAAGATTATATGTTAAATTCTGTAAAAAAAGAAAAATTTCAAAATGTGGCTTAAAATGATTAAAGTTGACTTCGGTCAACATTTTTAGTAACGGACCCGGACCCGTGATTTGACGGTCCCGGAGGGTCCGTAAAAAATATGGGACATCGGGCATAATGCCCGGAGTCGAATTCCGAGGTCTAGATCCGGGGAAAAGAATTTTTCTGTTTAATTGTTTTTCTGAAATTTTAAGGAAAATGGAAATTGAAAATTTATTAAAAGACTATGGTATCGGGCTCGTATTTTGGTTCCGACGCCCCGGTACAGGTCTTAAATATGTTGTTAAAACTTTCTTGTGAAGTTTGGTCAGAATCGGACGTCATTTGACGTATTCGGACTAATTATCTAAAGTTGGAAATTTTATTTGAAGTTAGAATGAAAAATGATGATTTTGAGGTTTGATTCATTGATTTTGATGTTGTTTTGGCGATTTGATAGCTCGAGTAAGTTCGTAGGATGTTGTTGAGTTAGTGTGTGTTGATTGGTTTGGGAGCCCCAAGGGCTCGGGAGTGTGTTCGGAGGTGTTCGGGTATTTTTGACTTAGAAAAAGTAGCAGATTTCCTGCCAATTTTTTACACAGTGCTTTCCTTTCTTCGCGATCACGTCTTTCAGCCCGCGTTCGCATAAGCCTTAGCCTTCCCTTCATCCACATTCGCGTTACCCCGTACGCGATCGCGTAAGCCAACTCAGGACCCCCAGTAATTCCTTCATCGCGTTCGCGGACTAGTCCTCGCGTTCGCGTAGTAAACAGCCTCTTCTTCATCGCGTTCGCGTACCCCATCTCGCGTTTCGCATAGTACAAGTCCTGGGACCCAGCCTTTCCCCTTCTACCGCCGTTCGCTATTAGTCTTCTGCGAATGCGATGTTCCCAGTCCTCTTGCTTCGCGAACGCGGACACCCTGTCGCGAACGCGAAGGTCAAAAATTGCCCAGTGATTTTGTTAAAATTACCAGAAACAGTAGCTTCGGGACTTTCCTCATTTTTCCACACGAGCTCTTCTTCCTAACACCCCTATGAGCGATTTGAAGAGCCTTTTCCTCCATAGCTTCTTAGGTAAGTGTTCTCTAACTTCATTCTCTCTTAATTTCTTCATCTAAATCCCAATTTTCCTAGCCCTAAATCATGATTTCAAAGTAGAAATTAAGGGTTTTGGGTAGAGTTAGGGTTTGAGAATGTTGGGATGTTCAACCTCAATTTGGCGTTGAATCTTTAAAACAAATTATATATTTGAACTCGTGGGGTTATGGTGACTG